TTTTTTGTTCAAAATACATTTTTTGAAATATTATTTTAATGAAGAATGTGCAGTTAAAAAATAAGGAGAAGTTTTGAATATGTCTGTAATATTATTTTATTGAAAAACATGGTTGAAAATAAAAGAGAGAAAAATATATTTTAAAAGTAATGAGAACCAAACAAGAGTTTACTTTAGAAACTTAGGATCCGTTAGACATAATTTTTATTTTTGCTTTTGTAGAATATCTTCTTAAGAAAGCCACCTTCGTTAAGCTTTCTTTTAAAAGAGATGATACACGTACAGGTTGGGGTTTCACATAACCCCACTAGATTAGATACAATGGGTGTGGTGGGTGTGATTTTTTTGACAATATTTTAATTATATGGGGTCTACCCTATGAGTTTAATTTGGAAAACTTCTATGAGTCTTATTCTGTACATATAGCATAAATGTTCTTTTAAAACTTATCTAACAAAACATTTCAAAAGTTGCATAAACAACTTTTTTGGCAAACTTAATAAATATGAAGTTTGTTATCATTTGATAATACATTATCTATCATATAGTAGGTCAGGTCAATAATAAATAACATTATTCTTAATTTAACTTACAATTTTGTTACATGTACATTTAATTTGACACTTTAATTGACATTGCTTCATCTAGTAGATATAATGTTCATTAATTTTGACAAGGATCGAGCTGTGTGCACAGCATGGCACACAGCTCAGTTCACAGCCCCCTCACATCAAGGGGGCTGCCGATTAAAAAAATGGAGTGGGTCCTCCGCACAGTAAGAGGGCTATAAGTGTAGAACACCAAAAGGTGATGTACACTTAACTTAACTCTTTTAACAAAACTTATTCAAAATTTTGACCAAATTTCTTACACATAGCTGATGTCAAACTTAACATACAAATACAAGGTACAAGTGCTTAACAGATGAAAATTATTCTAGTCATAACCTAACAATCTTAGGCTAACAACGTTATTCGTAGGGACGCGTGCCGCTTCCAATTACTGAATTTTGGGACCAACACCTAACCTTCATACGTGATTACACCCATCCTCTATCTTGCACGTTTTCATCTCCTTCATGTCACATGCCACCCCCACAAACCTTGTCCCGACAAATAACAATAATTCATTACACCTCCCTGCAATCGAACATGAAGGCTAGTTTTTCATGCCAAGACACACCCTTTTTGTTTATACACGCAATCAAACATCCTTCACTTGTATGTATATCAGTTCAAAATTAGCAAAGAAAATGAAGTTTCAAATCAGTGGTGTTTAAATTAAGCAGTTTGCTACAAAAACAGTCAGGCCCCCTGGCCGAACCCCACCAATAGGTGGGGGTCCCATTTTTTTGCAAGGGACCCACCCCCATGGTGGGGTTCGGTCAGGGGGCCTGTTAGGCCCCATGTTATTCCAACAAAATTCTTAAATTAAAGTGTCGTATAGGGGATTCAGTTTCAGAATTGGAACTCGAAGATGATGTGTTGAACATGGAACGAGAGTTGATGGGAATTGGAGGATATGAAGAGAAAGATACAAATGGGATAGTGGAGTTGATGGAGAGCTTGGAAATAGAAGCAAT